GCAATTTATAATCACTCCTATATTTATATCCCACTTTTATTCTAAACTTGGGAAACTATCAACCCAATTTGTGTCATTTTCTCTCTCATACTACAATTGAATATTCTTTATTATTTTCGCTTCATTTTTATTTTTGTCTACCAATATTTCATTCTTCTCTTCTTTAAGAGCTCGTAATTTTTGTTCCAACTCTCTGATCTTCCTTTGTTGATTCACAAAATCAGATAGGCTTGGGTGTTCTGTTTCATTTCCACCTCTATTTTTGTTGCTTTGACACAAAATATGATCATATAACTCTTTATTTATCATTTCAGTTCCATTTTTACTATTTTTAGTTACCAAATTCTATAAATGTTCCTATAAATATTATGAAAACACATTAGTAATACTTTCTTTGCTATAACAAAAATGCAACTAATGGAAAAATGTTTCAACCAAAATATATAACATTTATTAGTCATCAATCAAATATAAATATTAAGAAATTACATACACATATATGAGATTTTTTAATTAGGGTGCATTTATTAAGATCTGTTCATCCACTAAAATAGAATCTGTAATTATTTTCTTAGGAATTTTAATGAGGAATTTTCTATTTTTCTCACATGCCAAGAGCAAGAATAATTGTAAACCAAGAAATCCCATATTCCCTTAGTCACTAAATTTTCATTGTAATAGTAGAAACAATTGGTAAAAGAAATCAATTCAAATGATAACTATTTGACAATTTTATGCTAAAATTTTTATAGAAACAATAACCTAATCAACCCATCATATTGTGGTTTGTGCTTGGCCTCATAAGAGAGAGCTAGTTGGAAATCATTGCTACTAGAAGGATCAATAGTCAACATGATGAAAATGTGCTAAAGATAGAAACATTGTGGCGAGATAAGAGTCCTAAATTGATGTACATAGCTAAGAGAAATATGGTAAAGGATAGGGGAAAGAGAAATAAAAGATGAAGGGAGTAGGTGTAGGACATCAGTCAACGTAAAAAATAATAAGGATATAATAGGGGTTTAGTAACAGTTGAAACCCCCATATTAAAATTCCACTCAATTCATTACATATTCTATTTTAGTAGTTGTATATAATCTAATAAATGCGTACTAATGGCACAAATTAAAAAATTTCTACATAAATATATATATATAACCTTTTAAAATGTTTTTCATATATATGACAATCTTAAAACTTACTCCAATTGATCTTGATTCTTGATCTACCCATACAAAAGTTCCATTTCTTATCTTTCGAGAATGTTGCAATAACCAAATATCTACAGTAGAGGGCTTTTTTCCCTTCGTAGATTCAACCTACTAAGGCATAAAAACCAAAATCACAATATTAGTAAGAAAATAATAAAATAATTAGTAGATTTTAATGTATCATAAAGTATAAATTATCTTATAGAAACTTACTATTCTAGCTTTAAATTCATCAAAGGATACATTCCCTGTTGTGTGAATCCTTTTCCCATTTTTTAGCATTTGCAAAATTGTGTTTGCTTTTATTCTAAAAAAAAATGTGTATCATTATTAAAATCATTTGATAGTCTTAACTTGCATTTAATAAATTTAATTATCTAAAATTCTTTAGAGCCAAAATGTTTAATACAAAACCTCTATTATTCTTCAAATATCTCTCAAGAGGATTATCTAATCTATCATTGTCGTTGTCGTTATCGTACTTCTTATAATGACCATGTAACTTATTCTTTCAACTCCTAAATTGGTCTCCCATAGTTTCTATACAAAAAGCAACTACTTTTTTTTTTTATTATTCTTGATTAATTCAAATGTTTCCTTATCATCCACAGCAAAGCCACACACATCTTAAAACTTTGATCAACAGAGATATCATAAGTTTTTAATCTATTTTCCCACAAATCATTTAATTCTTCTATCAAAGGCTGCATGTATACATCAATCTTATTGCCTGGGCCTTTATAACCAAGAATTAGTAATGAGAGTATGAAATTAGGCTATTTCATGTATAATCACAGAGGTAGATAATAAGGTATCAATATAACAGGTTATGTGCTGTGAGAAACTATTATCATCCCAAATGGGTTAAAACCATCAGAGGCTAATCCTAAACAAACATTATGTGGGTTAGAAGCAAATTTTGGATGTTGAGAATCTAACTCCTTCCATGCCGGAGTATCTGTAAGATGCCTCATCAATCCATCTTTGGTGCAGCCATCTTTATGCCATTTCATTAAAGGAGCTATCTTTGAACACATGAATAACCTTTACAAGCTTGGTTTTAAGGGAAACCAACGTAATACCTTTGCAGGAATTTTTTCCCCCTTTTAGGGTTGGAAGAATTATTCACAACATCTTTCACAACATCACTAGTTTCCTTCCATTTAGAAGCACCACACACATCACATTTTTTTTTTTGTTTTTCATGATCCTTCCAAAACAACACACAATCATTCGGACAAGCATGTATCTTCTCATACCCTAAACCAAGACTTGCAAATATTTTCTTCATTTCTTTGGAAGTACTAGGCAATGTGTTTCCCTCTAGTAACACCTCTTTCAACAACTCAAGCAACATGGATAATGATTTATCACTTATCCATTAAACATTTTATATGGTACAAGTGTACCAAGAATGGCAACTTTGTCATTGATTTGCAATTAGGATACAATTGTTGCTCCGCATCTTTGAGCAAGTTAAAGAAAACATCTGCATCACTTTTTCTAGATTTACATTGCACCGGATGCTCCTCTGCTGTATTAGTATTTGTTTCAATTGGATCAACATTCATATTAGCCTTTGGAGATGCATACATAATGCATCATTTAATAGACCATGCATGTCATATTGAAAGGCCCTTTCTTGCTCATTGCTTACATTTTGTACTATAGATGTTCCAATACCCTCACCATGCCATACCCAATGAACAAATCCTTTAAGAAATCCTTAGCATATGATATGCTCAAAAGTTTCATCTTTATGAAGCAATTCTACGTTACAACACTTTTTACAAGGACATTTGATTTTTCTCCTTTTAGTTTGGAACTTCAAGGTAAACTCAATGAAACTCATTGCTCCTCATGCATATCTCAATGAGTTCCTTCTTTCAAGTGTTATTCAAGACTTCTCAATTGAAGGAAGGTTATTTTTGAAAATAAAAATCAATAAATACGACTTATCATAAAAAGCAAACAACTTAATATTGTTAAAAATATTAATCATACAAAAACAATGTTACAAAACACAAGAAAGCATGCAAGCAATGAAATTGGAAATAAAATATGATGAAATTTGACCAATAATTTGGTCTTCAACAAAGTAGCCATTAAAACAATAATTCTATTATCCATGCAAATCAATACTTAATTTTCTAAACTTAATTCAATTAAACCCAAAAAGTACTTTTACGATTTAGCTTAGACTTAAGAATTTGAATTTGAATTTACAGTTTAATGGCAACCTTAACATCACATAGCAAGTAAAGTTTAAAATGCAGACTTATAGACATGTAATGCTATTGTATGAATAAGAGAAAGGAACTTTCTCTGTTTTTTCTTGTTTGCACTTTTTGAAAATTTATTGCATGTTGATTTCAAGTTGAAATTCTGCCAATTGAGATTTATAGCAGCTTGTTAGCTGTTTAGCTCTTTAATCTTGTATTGGTGATGAACATTCAACTAGTATGAAATGAATATGCATTACAAGAAATACGAATGCATCATTTACATGTTGCATAGAATCTATGAATGATACCTAAGTTAATGGCTAGCTAAGATGCTCCTAAACAGCTCACTAAGTCTATGGACCAGCATAGACATCCTTCTGCACAAAGGTCTAACAACTCAAATCAGCTTAGTTAACTTTAGGAGCCTTTTCCTTAGCCGTTAGCATAGGTCTTTACCATATATTCGATTCAAATACAACATGTTTTATGATATTTATTAGTAATACATGAATCAATTCTCCATAAGTAGTTCACATAAACATATAGATAAGTAAGATTAAATAAATGCATAACTAACATAGTTTCTCATTTCATATGCTTGCAGATTTTGAACCTAAAAATCACTTACCGTAGAGTTCAACACATGAGACAACTAGAAGAAACAAACTTTAGGTAATTTTTACTTTGCATGTAAATCAATGGAACTCAGATTAAATAACTGTGAGTGTAATTCTAAGGAAAACTTTAGCATGAATTTATGTTTCCATGATGAGAACCCGGCTACATGTGGGGTCATCTTGATTCCCATCATTCCATATGTCCATGAACAAATCTATGGAACTCATTCTGTGAATGTAAATCTTGCTAACCAGCCTAGACATCCTTTCGCGCAAAGGTTTAGCAATCAAAGTCAACCTAGTTAACTTTAGGAGCCCTTTTCCTTGCCATTGGCATAAGTCTTTACCATAGACTCAATTCAAATGCAGCACGTTTTATGATGCTGACTAAATGCATAAATCAGTTCTCCTTCATAAATAGCTTACATAAACATATATATAAGCAATATTAAATAATTACATAATTGACATAGTTTCTCATTTCATCTACTCAAATTTTCATCCCAAAAATCAACAATCATAGTTTTAGCATATAGGCAAGAAGGAACAAACTTCAAGTAATTTTTACTTTGCCATGTACTTTAATTCTTTATATGCATCTTATTTATGTTTTCCTAGTTTTGACTTACTATTTGAATTCATCAAATTCTAATTCTAGCAACTTA